GGCGGCCGTGGGGGGCTTCGAGGCGCGTCTGTTCCTGCCTCTCTCCTTCCAAAAATAAGCGTTTGGGGGTCTTATGTAATCTCCTGCGCTTACCCTGCCATTTACCAGTAGTCACAGGCTGTTTAAAAAGCCGAATAAGGCTTTCGATTGTTACCGGTTACGTGTCCACCTGCCGGTAACTCTCGTGAGAACCGCCAGGAGAAATGCCTGCAAGGGGGCGAGGAGGAGGAGGCCTGGCAGGCGAGGGGTCCCGGCCCTCCAGAAACACTCCCGCCGTCCAGCAAGGGGTTTCTTACTGAGCAATTGAACTCACTGCCCTGCAGACGATAAAAGTAGCTCGAAGACATCCTTCTGAGACAAGGGAGGGTTTTTTAAAGTTGATTGCTGGAGAGCTAGGGCACAAAGAGGTTAAAGGGGTTTTTTTCAGCAAAACATTCCAGTGTGTGGCTGGTGTTCAAACCTGGGTTTACCTTCCAGCAGAGCATCTTTTAAAGTCACGGTCCTTTCACTGCAAATTCCTGCTCTTCACAGTTGTCATACACAGTACTGCACTGCAGCAGGGGAGCCAACTTTGGACAAAAGGCCTCTATTAAAAAAAAAAAAAACCCACAAAGATCTCACTTCCCCTTTCAAATATGTGCCAACAGCACATCTAAACAGGGATGAACGCTGCTGGGTCCAGCCTCCTGCCGTTACTGACCTGCCAGCACTGACAAGCGCATCAACCTCTCCTCCCTCATCAAAGCAGCTTTTGCATCATGTTCCCACTTACAAGTGACTACAGGTGCCCCTTTCCTCTTTAGACCTGTTGCACATTGTTTGTGGTACTGCGTGAGGTGTACGGACATCTCGCTTTACACAGTGATCGGAAACCCTGAAGGGAGACTGTGCACCTCAGCTTTGGGGAGAAGGGAAGTTCTTCTGTGAAAGACCTTTAGGAAAGTTTCCTTAAAAACATTGCACACAGGACATTTTGGAATCATCAGAAAAATGTCTTTTTCTCCTTGCTGTAAAACGGAGACAAATTAAACTCAGACTATATTGCTATGCGGAACGAAAAAAAAAAATAGATAGATAGTGGTGATGCAGTGTGGCTAATGTTTGACACTAAAGGGAGGATTCTGCTCGACAGTTCATACGAGCATCTGTGAAGCCACTCTCCAATGCAAGTCTGTGTAGTAAAAGAAGCATGTGACCGTTTAAGTCTATAAATGTTGAAAACATTTTGGGAAAGATCATCCTTACAAGTCAGGTACCATCCATCAATGGAAAAGGCAAGATTAATAACCATTATCACCATCCTGAGGGGACCCTTCCTTAAATCATGTGAATTGCATGAAAGGAAGCAGATCAGGTCAGCTTAGTCAAGAGCTAATACTTAGCTGACAGCACAGGCCTAATGAGAAGTCAGCAGAAGCTGGGCTCATAACCTATGTGAGACTCTGGCTTGAATGAGATGGCGCGTGTGGGAGCAGGCTCCTTGGGAGTCTCCAGTACCTCTCAGCTGTCTCCTGTTCCTGGTGTGGACCCTTGGTTCAGGCTCCCCTGGCTCTGATGCCCCTGATGAGTCTTGTTCGTCCTCAGCTGTTCCCATGGCACTACACTTGTTCTGCAGCTGCAGGTGGGGAAGGAGCCCTGAGAGATCGTACAGGCAGGGGACTCAGCTCTTCTGAGGACTCCCCTTTCATGCTTTTTTCTTTGTTGGTAGCATCCAGTTTTCTTCTCCCCTCCCATCACATGCAAGTTAATGCTACCCTCTGTTTTTGTAATCATTGTGTCTCTTCCTCCTATAAACACAGAAAGTTGGCAGCAGTTCTTGGGGACAAGAACAGAAGTTGCTAACATGGGAAGGATAATGCCAACAATGGGGCTTTATTTCCAAGCAACTGCAACAATCACAACATTAGGAAGGCTATACAGTGGACAGACACTTCAGTTTTTCAGACCTCAGCCTTAGCCTCTAAGAAATCTCTCCATAGGAAGTCGGATAAAGGGCATAATTTAAGTTGCATTTTATTAGACAGAGGTGGATTTGATACATGAGTATAGATCTTAATTTTCTATTCTTCTTGTTCAAGAAAAACACATTGCACAAAGCAGCTGCATTCAACAGTACAACAAGATATGTATCATTATTCACTTGAAGACTAGAAATGTGCCCCAAAATTTTTCAGTCATTCAGTGTGCTAAAATATAGATAATAAAAAGTGTTAGTGTTTTAATGGTAAAATACAGTAAAAAAAAAATTCAGGTGAATCTAGAATGAAAACTCCTAACTTCCTTTCTGTATGGCACCACTTCATTGTCTGATTATAAATTTGTAAAAGGCACCACACATGAAAACTGTAAAGCAAGTGAAAAAACAAAACCAAGCAACTTTCCATGACTTCTTTTCTGTACAAATGCATATATCTTAAGGCAGGTGTTTTATGTGCAAAATACAAGTATACAGGTAAAACCAATGTTGGTGTCATATATTCTCATACTACTTCTTTTAGCAGTAACATTGGTGTCCAAATGTACAGTACATTGAAAACACTTTTCTCTAACAGAGCTCAAAATAGAAGGCAGGCTGGAAATATGGCCCTGATAACAACTAGTTTTTAAATCTGAAGAGCATCTATGTAGACCCCTTAAAGCACGTACAAACAGTCATTCTCTTTTTCTTGTTGTCTCTTCCTTTAGAAAGGTCCATATCAACTTGTTCACTATGTCAGGCTGATCCTGCTGGAGCCAATGACTGGCTTCAGACAAAATAGTTAATCTGAAGTGATTTTTAACATAAATCCGTGTAATTTCTGCCATCTCAACTTCCATAAATGCATCTCTTTCTCCCCATAACAGCAGGGTTGGCATGATGACTTCATGGTGCTGCAGAGGTAGGCAACTTTAAAAAACAAAATACACTGAGTTGTTTTTTGTTTTTTTTTTTTTTTAAAAACAAGACTAAACGAAGACAGATTTAGTCAGCTTAGCTTTTGAAATCAACATACAGTAACTTATAGCAAGCTCTCCAAGTTCCAAGGTATTTTCTACAATACCAAAAAAAAAAATACTCATGTGAATCAAAGTCCTTTAATTCTTTTTAAGGACGGTAACATTTTAAGAAGAAACGTCACAGTCCAGAGCTTTGGCAGACTTGGAAGGGTTTAAGAAGAAATACATTATATGCCATTTTATTGATATATTGAAGAAAAGCCCTCAAAAAGTAAGATGTTAGTAAAAGTTGTACCACCACAGTGACCCATTTAAACTCTTTTTAATGGGCCATCAGAGTTTATTTCAACTCATCTATTTCAGAGATGGTAACAATTTTGTATTTATGCTTACACTGCTTTATTTCAGCAGCATATTGTAATAGACTACCTGTAGTCATTCAAAACAGACTCCAACTGATCAGACACAAATCATTATTGTACTAATGCTCAAACTGGATTATTTTAAACCAATGGTGTATAACAAAAGATTTTCTGAACAAACTTCTAAGGCCAACTAAGTGCTAGGTTGAAACTTAGAAATCAGTTAAGAGATTATGCTCTGTAAGTACAGAAAGACAAAGAACGAACGCAGTATGCCTTAGTTTAACATAAGACAAAGAACCGGACACTTGAAAACATTCTTCTCCACTTACATACTATCTCAAGAAATATTAATAAAAGGTCACTTGAAATCATAGTCTACTTTTGACAGTTACATGCATTTATTGGGCCGAATCTCCAAATTTCTTAATGCTTTCTCTGCGTAAGGCATTGAACAACTACTTTGTGTGCTGCAGGCCTGAACGGCCTACTAACCTGAATGGCCTACTGTATTCCCTCATGGAAAAAGTATATACCAAACAGAGGTAAAATGGTCCTTAATACATATACTTGATACCTATACTTGATAGGCTATGTTCTGATGCATTACACTGCAGTGTGAATTACTGGTTGCAGAACTTAAAAGGGAAAAATATTGCAGGATTCTACAGCTATTGATAAATATAACAGTGATTGATTTTTCTAGCAAAATGGCATTTTCAGCTCTTCTTTTTATTCTAATAACATTAATATAATTAAAATATAACATTTACTATAATATTTAATATTATAACATTTAATATTTATTACAATATTAAGCAAAAGACATATAGACAAAATTATTTATGATAGGACTGCAAGTTTTCTAATGTAAATGGACTCCTTGTTTCCCATCCTTGTGTTTGTTTCTTAAAGAAACATAAAATCATAAATACTGAGTGGCAGAAACCTTAGAAAGTCATTCTCTTGCCCTGACGTGGACTCAACCTACAGAAGATATTTATCTTGCTTTTTTCTTTAAGGTTTTCCAAGATGGCAATTCCACAACTCAGTGCTACATCAGTCCTTCCCTCTTCCGACCATTAGAAAGTTTTCCCTAATGCCTACTATGAATCTTTCTTGTGGAAATTTAAAACCA